CGGAATTCCCCCAGACAGTCCGGTTTTTGAGTTCTGTGTCCAGTTTTCAGGCCAGCTGACAGATGTGGCTGCCGAGGTCCCCAGCAAGCGCAGGACCTCAGGCAGCCGCATCTGCCTGAAGTCCGCACAGCCCACCTTGAGAGCCCACGGTTTCCACATAAAGCAAAGAAAATGAGAAAGCGCACTACCGGGGGCCCAAAGTAACTGGAAGGGATTCCACCGGGCCTCACTTCCCCAAGGACTCCATCCAATCACCCCCAGAGAATTTCCAAGGACTTCTCAAATGTGAGTTTTTTCAATAATCTTATACCAACAGTAGTAGCGCTCTCAATACATAGGTTGTTCACGGTGTCCACATGAGAGCCCACACAGCCTTGGTGAGAGCCCGCACAGGCCACCTGAGACCCTGAAAACATCAGGGTGCCACCCCAGAATAACAGAGTATTAGCTTCATATAATTTTGTATAATGTATAATGTATTGCTTGGATTTGTAGTCCTCTATGGCCTGTCTACTTACTCCCTTCCCTGGCTGTCTCTTCTTGCTCTTTCTCCTGGCTGTCCCTCCTCGCGGGCTCCTCTATATTGTCCCAAAAAAAAATGCTGCACGCGGCAGGTAGAGTGTTCGGGTTTCACTTGAAGAAAAGGTGGCAACCCTACTGTAGCCCCAGTGAAAAGATTTTCTGTCATTTTCTGTCCCAAAACACAACAGGAAGTGAAAGGAATCCCCTCCAAATGGGGATACAGAAAGCAAAACTGCACCACCCCTTGGCTGAAGTTGTTTTTTAAGCCAAATTCCAGTCCCTGTTTTTTTAATATTGCCTGCACCAGTTTAAATTTGTAAAAAAGCAGCGTTTGCTGCAATGTTCATTTTCACTGGTGCTGTCCCCTACAGACTCACCACTCAGGCCCAGGGTCATCCACCCTACTTCCTGTGAGCCCAGGCTGTCATAGACATACCCCCGGGCTCACCAGGGAATGCTGCAGAAAATGTTATGTGACTCTGGGGCTACTACACCAGAACTGTGCTTTAAAGCTGAACTCCGGCCTTCACTTCAGTCTGGAACAGTTGTATCAGCTCCTCTCCTGGACTGCAATAGCTTCCTCTAATATCACTGCACACTTCGAGCTTCTTACACTGCATTAAGAGCTGAAGCAAGTCAGATAGAGCCCACCTCGTTTCCTGGCGGGAGGACGTCCAGCATCTTCTAACACTTTCCTTCCCAGCCTCACTGTCTCTGACCTGCCTCTTTCATTCACTGCTTTTCAGTTCATTCAATTATGAAGGCTCAGCATCACATGTGAGTGGTCTGCATGCAAATACAGCCTGCCTAGGCACACCCACTTCTCCAGACGGACATCCACCCATCAAGGGATTTTGATATTTGCATAACTCCTCCCCAAGAGCCAGCCATAACTGCTCCTGATCTGCTCGCTTCTGGGTCAATGACTCCAAGTACTGAAACCAGATGATCAGCATAACAACCAGTCCAGGAACATTTCAATGGGATGTTAGGAATGGCACTTCCAGTATTCCTCGCAAGACAGGTATACTTGAATTTTTATTTTTTAATAAAGGAGAAGTATGAGGTGAGTGAAAATCGATCATCCTCATAGTTCGAGCCGATGTGTGACAATGAAACTGTCACACGTGGGCTCAATAGATCGGGAAGTGAGCGAACACATACCGTTGCCTGCTCACTTCTTGACCATCTCCCTGCAGAGAGCCGTGACTTTGAGTCACGGCTCCCTGAAGGGATTCCTCCCTCCCCTGTCCGATCCTCCAGTGCTGACTGTCGGAACGGACGAGGGAGGGGGCGGGTACAGCTACCTCTGCCTCTATACTCCTTGCGATATACTGAGCTTTGGGTCACGAGAGGACGCTAGTATATGTCCTCCCATGACCCTTAGGAGAATTATGGGGAAAAACACTTACCCCATAGTTCTCCTTTAAGTACTATGATACCTTCCCCGTCCCCCTTTTTCTCCCCTTGCAGGCACATTATATGGCCAAAGCCTTCCAAATTACTGAGTTCCGGTGTAGCCAGGGATGGGCATTCAAATACATTTAAAGTGATACTAAACTCAGGAGTTAAATCTTAAAAATACATTCAACGACCTCAACTATTACCAAAAATGTATCTTATTTGTGTATCACTCGGCTGTAGATCCTCAAATCATCTCTGAATTGGTGCTGACGCTGTCCTTCCTTCCGGAGGGTGGCTACTTTTGTTCCCCATGGTCCCTGTGTGCTGCTCCAAGCTCGCTCCCGTGATGGACTACAATCTCAATACAAATTAGTAAACTAAATGTGAGACTGTAGTCTGACACAGGAGTGAGCTTGGAGCGGTGACTACTTTGCAACACACACTGGGACCATGGGGAACAAAAGTAGCCACCCTCCGGAAGGAAGGACAGCGTCAGCACCAATTCAGAGATGATTTGAGGATCTACAGCCGAGTGATACACAAATAAGATACATTTTTGTTAATAGTTCAGGTACTTGAATGTATTTTTTAGGTTTTAATTCTGAGTTCAGTGTCCCTTGAAGACAATTGGTTGTTTCCAACCTTGTTGTAACCGTTTGGCGAAGGCCCTTTTCTGTCCCAGCATGTACTGTACCTCTGTGCACAAAGTCAGCTCCTTACAGACATGGTTTGATGAGTTTGGTGTGAAGGAACTGGGGTGGCCTGCACAGAGCTCTGACTTCACCCTTATTGAACACCTTTGAGATGAATTGGAATGCCCATTGCAAGTCAGATCTTCTCAGCCAACATCAGTACCTGACTTCACCAATGCTCATTTGGCAGAAGGGTTTCAAATTCCTCCAAAATCTTGTGAAGAACCTTCCCAGAAAATTATAGGCTGTTGTAGCTGCAAATAAGCTGGCAAGTCTATATGGATGCCTTGGGTTAAGGAATGGGATGTCCAACAAGCTCATAAAGATGTCTTGGTTAGGTGTCCACAAACCTTTGGGCATATAGTGCGCCTTCCTCCAGGCCTCCCCTTGAAAGCCAGATTGGTGTCTTCTAGAGCAACTTTCCACTCTTGCCCCCATCCATCACTTTAGGGCATAAGTCTCCTCTAGTTAGCGACTGATCTAATAGGACGAGACAGGCAACCATTACCGCCTGTCAGGATCTTGCCGTGATAACCTAACCTCCTGCAAACAGCACAGGAAGCCACAAATATCTCACCAATATAGAGTCATTTATTATTGATAAGTAATAATGTTGCAAAGCAAACAGAATTCTCTATCCATATAGTGCTACCGGCCTCTGCATTGTACAGCATTATATCCACGCCACATTCTACAGCAAGAAAACCCCAATTTAATTGTATAGCCTGGAGCAACAGTATATCAAATCTGCAGGTTGAGTGGGAGGAAAGGAGGAGAATTCATTTTCTTATCAACAGGAAAAGACCAGGAGCAAATGTCTTGTTGGCTTAGCCAGTGCTGAGTGCTGGGAGATTTGCTAGCTTGTGCGGACAAAGTGTAAAGAGAACCGGTCAGTACACTGTTCCTTGGCAAAGCCAACGCTTCCATCTAATGCAGGCAAATAGCAAATAGGTATAAAGATGAACCAAGATGATGGTTTTAGAAAAATGGTGGAAACTTTATTTTGTAAATGTATTTTCTGTATTGCTTGTGGGAACAAATGTGTTCGTCCAACCAAAAACGGTATTGGGAAACTTAGTGGGCTGATTCTTGTACGTTTTGGGGAGACCAACAGCGAAATCTCCCTGACATCATTTTGGGGTTTTCTGTTATGTTCTTTATACTATAAAATTAATGAATCCAGCAGGGTGAGTGTAATAGGAGCAGCAGGTGTACAGACCTGGAAACTCCTACCAATGGTCTCCAGCATCTACCAAACACAGAGATACCAGTTTTCGGTGGACTTTTAACTTGAAAAATAAAATGGTAATAAAAATTACTCAGACACTTGATTACCTCACTGTCCTGATATTATACCATATCTCATTCTTCAAAACTAGGGATAAGCTCAGGTTCAGATCAAATTCAGTCCCAACCGGAGCTCCTTGGAACCTGTAAAGAATCCCCTTCTGCTACCACCCAATCCGCTGTGAGCAGGGAATTATACATTGTTAAGTTATAATGCAAACAAAGTAATGTGGAAATGTCCTTGTTTATGTGTATATGCTTGAATTGAAAATTATTAAAAGGGAACTGAATCACAAAAGTGGCTGTCCTGGTGATCCTGCCATGAAGGTCCTTGTTCAGGCACTTCCTGTTATGGGGTGACAAATGTCTCCCTATTGTTATTCGGTGACATGTGCCCCCTGGTGGAGAACAGTTGTGCTCCTGTGTTGTCACCCTGTCAAATGATGGAGACTGCAAGCGACTGTACCCACACACATTGCTCAAGCATGATCCACCACTGTTACTACCAAGATGCCGGATCAGAGCAATAATGTACAGCCAAGACTGAAGTGAGGGCACGTAGACAGGAAGTGGCTGAAAGAGGTTGTCAGAGATCAGCAACACTGAGATGTATAATAAGGATGAAAAAAAGGAGAACACAGTGTTTTATGCTAAGAAATGGCAATTGTTTATTATATATATTTTTTTTAAAACTAAATGACATTCAGTTAGGATTTAGATCTACTTTAAAGGGTCTTTTTAATAATAAATTCACAGCGCCATTCACCCTATGAGTCTTTGTGAGCATATCATCTGTGAGGCAAAAACAAACATTCTTAGTATATTTTCTTTTTAGGCCGAATGTAATTTAATGTAACACCACATTATGGTCAGTAGATGGAGCAGAGGAGAATAGGAAATAAGTATTCATTTCTATGCTCCTCAGCTCCATCTAGTGGCCATAATGCGGTATTACATTGAAATACATATACTAAGAACGCTAATTTTTGCCTCTATGCGCACAGATTGAATGTTCACAGAGATTTGCAGGGCAAATGGCTCTGCATATTCTTAATACATAAACCCTTAAGAGTCACCACTGTGCTTTCTTTACAGAAGTTTGCAGAGAAGATGAGGACAGTGAGGAAGAGGAGACTGACACCGGTTCAGTATTCACTATATCATTACCTCTGTCAGAGCAGCAGGTAAGCACCAGCTAAACACATACAGATAAGTAAATCTGCCTAAAAGAGAACACCGGGGATGTTTTCTATTGTGGATGGACAGTAATTGATAGCAGTTTTGTATTGCATGCTGTGAAGGGGTTGCCATGGTGACGCATATAAAAAGACACCAAGAATATCTATTATTGCTAGTAAAGCATCGACAGTGTTTATATGCTTGTGCTATGTCCTGCTGATGATGGTTCCGGTCAAGGATGGAGCATTAATGTGGGCCTGAAGGATGCATATTAACTTAGTAAGACTTAAAAAAAACAAAGTCCATTGGCATTGGTTCATTCTATTGCTCGGTCTGACCCAACAAGCGTCAATATAAAACACCTCATTATAAAAGGGATATGTCATGCAGTGTTGTCATCTGTGATCATATTGCTGGGTTCAGTCATGATTTCGGCACCTGACTCGAGACAATTTTCCAACAGGTGAAAAAGATCATTTTGAGTGCTGAAGTGGAACTTCAGGCAAAGATCATAGTCTGAGGATATCAATGATATGCTCTGCATATACACTGCCCGCCCGGCCCCAACAAAATGTCACTACCTGGATTTCAGGCAGTGTTATGATTTGGGGTTGCTTCAGTTGATCATGTTTAGGTTCAGCAACATTATATCCCCAAATAATGAGGTCAGCTGCCGACCTGAATATACTGAATGATGAGGTTTTTCTATCAATGGATTTTTTTCTTCCCTGACGGCATGGGCATATTCCAAGATGACAATGCCGGGGTTCATCAGGCTGAAATTGTGAAAGAGTGGTTCAGGAAGAGATCATTTTCATATATGTATCTGTAAAAAAAATTAATCAAGGCAACTGGACTTGCTGTATTTTTATTGAAGATGTTTTCGCTGGTCTTCCGGCTAGCTTTCTTAATTTAGAATGACTTGTACAAAAATTATCTGGGAATAAATATAACAACCCCATTATTTTCATTATTAATGGTGCCCATTCACACATCTGAAGCTTCAAAAAGTACATGACGTTTTTTTAGGGCAGAAATACACGTTTTTGGCTCTACAGACCTGGGAGTACCTGAAAAATGTGTGTAACACTTTTTTTTGCACCTCTCCTCCTACTAACTAGCTTTCTATTGGCAAAACAACAACACTCGAGCCTAAAAATGCCTGAAAAACACATGAAAAAAAAACACATGGACTGAGAGCCTGAAAGCTCCACAAGGGAGGAGGGGACATGGTGGCATACCTTATCCCGCTGGATGAACATCCCCTCCTCTCTCTCTCGGCGTCCATCACCGAGATGGCCACCGGCAGTTAAGTGCATGTGACTTCATTACACGTGTGCGTGATGATGTCACATGAGGTACCATGTAGTCATATCTGGAATGGGCAAAGCATTGGTGACTCTAGTTTTATGTGTCCATTGGATGTTAATCCGATCTATCTCTTCAACAGAGTAACACGCTGAGTGCATACCAGAGCTGTCTGCGAAGGTTCCTGGATTCAAACACTGAAAGTAAGTTTAGTCGTAAAGCTGAACTTCAGGCAAACCACTAAATATGCATCTAAAATGCATGTATGGAAGCAGTTTTATCTGTCAAGAGATTTGTATCCATCCACTTCTGAGATTTACATAGTTCTGCCCCACAGCACAGCCCAGTTTAAAAAGGCCAGGAGACAGGATCTCTCTCTCTGTGACTTTGTGACTAGACAGTGAAAGGAAAAGCAGCAGACTGATAAACTCATCTCTCTGCCACTCTGCTCGCTCCCCCTATCGGCATGCTTCTTGTTAGCACATGAGCACTGCAGCCCAATTAATTGGCTCCCTGTGCTGCTTCCCTGTCTCCCAATCTGAGCCCTGCTGTACATGCAGTGTACAGCAGAGGCTGATATCATATACTTACGGTGCTTGCATTTAAATGTATTAAGAAATGCAGTTTAATCCAAGTAACATGCAATCTAATCCTTGCAAGATTTAGTGCTATCTTTGTCCTATTGGAGAGTTGTCCCTTCCCTTCTAACAGGAGGTGAGAGAAAATCTCCCCACATTAAGGGAAATCCTTTCTTAGGGACAATTGTTATGGTGAAAACTGTCTATTAGAACAATGGTCCCCTTACTTCCTGTTCTGGTGACACTTTTAGAAAATTGTTCATTTTTACAGGTTTAAGCCCACAAAATTGGTATTTTATTTTTGGGTTCAGCTTGGACACCCCACCAAATTCTTATTGAATTCAAGTATTTCCAGTGAAGGGTACTGGTAATGCTGCAGCGTATAAAGACATTTTAGGCAATTGTCAGACAGTTTTTACCATCATTGCTGCCCTTTTTTTAGTTTGCTATCATGGACTAGACAACTTAAAATCTAAAAAATAAATGTTTTTATCTCAGCACCTGGCATACAAGACACCGTTTCACCAGATTCAGAGGAGGCGACGCTAACCAACTGCAGTGAAGAGGAGATTGTGTTTCTCAGACAGTGAGTATCAAACTGACAGGAGAGGTAGAGAATTTAAAGACACAAGTAAAAAAGACCAGATTCACAAATCTACCCCATGGGACCTGTTAGGGGAAGGGATAGGCTGCCTTTGTACATAAGATGCATCAGCAGAATTATTAGGTGTTAAGTCAGCTGAAAACAGAGTCTTCCTGAAAGAAGGATTCAAATAGATAAAAATCTGTTCAATCCAAAAAATGCTTCTTAAGGGATGCCACTGAAGTGCTTATTGATACACGGGACTTACTGTAACCTGCAATGATCTCTTCATTTATTTCATTCTTTATTCAGTCTACATATTGGTCTATAGCCCATTGAGGGGCACAGGCTTCAGTTCTCTGTAACCTTAATTATACTGCCGTCTATAGGAGGAGTGGACATTGGGCACAAATGGAGCTGTAGGTCAGCCCGAAGTACTATTAACTCCTCCTACACCCAGGGCCGGTGCTAGACATTTTGCACCCTAGGCAAGACCAGCTACTTACACCACCCTCCACGCACTGCCCCATTCTCCTGCCAGCTAGCTTCCACGGGAGATAGATGGATGTAAGCAGCCTGGACAGTAGCTAGACTGCTGTTGGCTATTTTAATTTGAAATAGCCAATAGCAGGCTGGCTATTGAAACACCAGCAACTGAGCAGAGAAGCGGGCCTGAGAGAGTAAATTGTCTCTCAGTTCTGCTCCTCTGCTCAGTGGGCGGGTGCAATAGCCAGCCTGCTATAGGCTTTTGCAATTTGAAATGGGGGTGGTGGTGGTGGGTGGGTGAGTGGACGAATCTGCTCCCAAGGCAGCAGTGTGCCCTAGTGGCAGCACCGGCCCTGCCTACACCAAAGATGTTTAGAATAGTGTCCTTAAGGATGCCAGCTTCGGCTATAAGGTTTGCAAGCAGCTCTGAGAGCTATGTTTCTTTTTTCATGTTGTTGGTGATTTCTTCTTGGGCTGGTAGCCTATTCTTTTCTTTGGGGGTTGCCTGTCCCTCTATTTTGGGCTGCTTTTGGTTACTGAATTAAATCCCATGTCCCTCAATGGACGATAGAGAGAGATGGATTTTTGTACTAGAACATATCAAGTAATTGTCAATCATAGCTTCCAATGAATATGTGTAGGAGCTCAGTAGGGGCCACCATGCCATGAAAGATGTCTCTATGTTACCCTACAAGGACATGCGTTTCTCCTTTCATATGTTTTTTTGTATCACTTGCTGCAACTCAATCTTCTCTAAAGTGGGAGAAGTTATAGCCTTTAGGGCTGGTTTGCACTTTTCTTGTGCCTAGTATCCATTCCTCCAGTAGGTGTTGATGTAACCCATGGTGCCCCAATTAAGTCCTCTGCACCTCCTGTGGATTTAGTGCCATTTTCGGCCGGCGCCCCCCCCTTCACTTTTCGCCCGGGGCCCGCGCCCCTGCTGCACCCCCGGTTGTTACGCCACTGATTCTGAGAAAGGATTTTTTTGGCAAGTACAACATTTCATTATCACAAAATAACAGTGTGTTAAAATCTAGCACCATGCTACGTTTCGAGTCACGTTCAACACTTTTCCCAGCAACTCTTGCTTGGAAAAGGGTAAAATATCATTGTAGCTATGCAGTTCAAAAGAATCTTCCGCATCCAACACATTGACAGGTGTACCAGATTCCCGGTCCTCACTGAGCATTGTGGTTCCATCCGCTGGCCCGCTACGCACGAACATCTAACAGGATACGTTCTATATCCCGTGGTAGATTACTGATGGAGCACTGAGGCACTGGATTGTATTGAGTGCTGGTACTGCTATATATGTACATATATATATATATATATATATATATATATAAAACTATGGTCTTTCTTTAATATACCACAGAAGAAGCAAAGGACAGTCAGCTTGATGTCATTCTACTGCCAAGAGAGATGTTTCTGGCAGATTCAGAAAAGTGTTTCATTTAATATTTTATTTATAACAATAAAACATTTAATTTTATATAGCACAGGCAGGGAGGCTGACTGAATGCTATAATGAGGCAGACTGACAATCAAACTGTCTGCAAGACATCATTCAGTCTGCCTGCATGAAATCTCACTCCAGTTACAAAAACACAAGTTTCCTGTAAATAAGCCAAATACTGTGATATTTCATATTCTGTCTTATTTTTACAAAAACATATACAAGATGCAGAAACCATGACAACCAGTGGGGGACAATGCGATGCAGTGCGTTCTGGCCAGAATTGGGCCGGAAGGCACTGCATCTGGTGTGAACCTAGCCTTAGGAGCCCATATTGAGAACTCACAGCCATGTAAATGTACTATGCAATCTGTTTCATTATGCAGATTACTTGCCAGATCACCATTGAAATGTAAACTGGTTAAAGGGCTTTATTGCAGTATCAGGATTCAGACAAAGTTGGCAAATAGAGATGAGTGAAAATCTGTTCTCTGATCTCCCCTCCATTGAATGAGGCTGAACACGAAGAGGATTTTGTCACTTTCGGTTTCTGAGCTGTCATTCCCCGGCCAGGAATTAATCTGATTAAGCAGGATCTGTGTTTGATCAGCTTCATTGGAGTGAAAAGGTGACATTAGGGGTCTATTAGACACTTAATGTTTCCTTAAAGAGAACTAGTAACCTCAAATGTGCTATTACATAGGGGGCTTGCTAGCCCCCTGTGTGATAGCAATAAAGTTAACTAAAAAGATTTTCTCACTAAACATAAATTAAAAAACATTGCACCACGCATGTTGGGTATCGTCATTAACACCAGTATAAGAACAATAATTCTAGGTTCATTATTTAACACTAAACAAATTTGGGGACCATAGTTTTTCGCCATCTCACAGGCACAGGCAATTTTGAGGCTTGACATGTTTGGTATTTATTTAGTTGCCGTAACCTGAATGAAGATGAACAGAGACCTCTGACACATTTCACGCATGCAGGAGCTGAGTCATAGTGTGACGACTCTCTGACTAGGCGCCCGTGTGCATGAAATGTGTCAGTGGTCTCAATACCTCTGCTATAGCCAGGTGCTTGTGCAGCTTGTTTGCTGACAGCCACTATAGAGGAAAATCAGTTCAGTGCACAACAGCGATGTCCAAACTCCTTTATTCTTCCATAAAGCATAACACAAGAGAAGAACGGAGGCTCTGATGCATTTCACACACAGGTGCTTAGTCATAGAGTGACGACTCTATGACTAAGCCCCTGTGTGCACAAAATGCATCAGCGGCCTCAATATCTCTGCAGTAGCCAGGTGCTTGTCCTGCTCATTTTCTGACAGCCATCATACAGAAAAATTAGTTGACCACCCACCAACTATGTCCAAACCTTTTCTTTCTTCTTCCATTAAAGCTTAACACGAGATTAATGGAGATTGCTGATGCATTTCACGCACACAGTCACTTAGACATATAGTGATGTGTGCATGAAATGCGTCAAAGGGCTCAATTCATCCCTTGTGTTATCCTTTCATGAAAGAATAAAGAAAGAGTTGGGACATAGCTGGTGTGTAGTCATCCAATTTTCCTTAATGCTGGCTGTCAGCAAACGAGCTGAATGAGCTTCTGGCTATAGCAGAGTTATTGCTGGTGTGTGGTCATCCAATTTTCCTGTATAGTAAAGTGAAGGGGAAGTTAGAGGAGTGGGGAGACAATGGGGAAGAAGCAAGAGGTAAAGGGGTAATGAAAGCATGAGGTTAGGTTATAGATGGGGGGTGGCTGGGGAACGGGATGGGGTGGGGCACAAATGTCTAAAGTTATGAGCGCCGCTTTACTACACTTTGCACGTCATCCCCTCACTTTAAACATCGGACCAGTTTTACTTCAATGGATGTCAGCACTGCATATGAATACAAGGAACGGCGACATTGTTACAGACACAGAGCACCATGACTTGTGAGATAAAAGGAAGCAGCCTTTGGAGATCAGCGAGCTTAGAAACTGTTGGGATCCCAGATAAAACAGAATGCGTTTTTATTGCTGAATCTCGCTCTTGTAAACCTGAGTGTGGAAATGAGATGACAAAGCACACAGGTGTGCAGAGATTTGACAAGATCTGGCAAGACGCATTGCTCTAAACCTGCAGCTGAGCTCGCAGCATGTCGCAGTACCAAATAATGATGAAGTCGCATCACCGAACGAAACGCATTTTCATTTCTTTGCCTCTTGTGATTTTTTACTTTCTACATGTTATGTGTCTTTACTTGAACGTGTCTTAGCTGAATTTACACACGCATCTCTATTATTATTATTATTATTATTATTTTTAAGGGGCTAATTTGGCTGATATCAAGTTGTTTCTAGACATCACAAAAGTGTTAAAACATACAGTATGTGTTTGGAAACTTATGCTGTAAGGCCATAGAAGGTGAATGGCAACCAATGAATATTTTTATTTGTAGCCATCAGATATTCTAGAATGATCGGAGTCGCTCATGACAAGCCTACTGGTTTAATGCTGGTGTGTAAGAGATATTGTCATGATCAGTGAAGTGTTTCTGCTGCTAAATGATGCCGTTCTGTCTGATCTGCCTGCCCACTAATATAAAACAGAACAGTAAATTGTATTATATGTATTTATTCTTATGATGGTTTATTTTCAAACCAGCTGAGCCTCCTTTCATTCAATCTGCGTGCCTGTAGGACCTCAGTGCACAGTAAGGGTTCCTGTTCAACCCTGTAGTTTAACAATACTTAATTACTAGCACACAAACAGGGATCCTCTGAAAAAAATGCTATACTTCATCTTGGCAGCAAATGTGCAAAATCTTACGCATTTCAGGTAAAACACTCAGCCTTAAAAGAGAACTATGAGGTAAGTTTACATAGTTACATAGTATTTGAGGTTGAATTAATACATTGGTCCATCAAGTCCAACCTATAGGATCTCATTCTTAGGAGTACTTGTACCCCTGTATATTATGGTCCCTTAGGAAATCGTCCAAAAGTTTTTTGAACAATTCCACACTCTTAGCTGAAATCACTGCCTGTGGCAGTGAGTTACAGAC